GCATCTGTGTTCAGTGTAGGCTGGAAGGGAAGGGACAAAGGAAAGCAAATATAGAGAGGACAACTAGATTAACACTTTGAGACATAACCAGGTATCATTTTATCTTTACCTTTTCTACCTCTGCATGCTTATAAAACAACTCACTGTCCTATGCATCACTGATTAATTCCCTGCAGTTTGAATTCTGCTGTTTATTCCTTCTCATGTACATCTTAGTTCTGTAATTGTATTTTTTCTCTGAGATTTTTAATATTTTTCACTCAAGCTGTTCTCCATAATTCATTATTTCTATTTCACAGTAACTGTACTTTTAAAAAATTTTGTAAGATTTTCTAGGAAAATGTATATTTCTTGCCTCGACCTAATTAAATGTATTCATAGAAAAATCAATCATTTATGAAATACAATGAATCACTTCAATGCCTTTATTTGCTTAGATTTGTATAAAGAAGTGTCTTACAATTTTTAGCATTTTCTCTCTTTAAATGCTTATTTCTTTTTTGTTAATTCTTATCTTTGCGAAGTTTTTAAAAACTTATGTATCAGTTCCATTTTTCTGGTTTTTAACTGATTTGCTTTTTTTTTTTATTAATTTAGAAAAGATCTTCGCAAACATCATTCTAAAAGCAAGGTGGAAGATACAGGGTTCCCTCATTTGAGGCTTTGTGTACTGTTACAGAGCTAGGTTTCTGTGGGTATGAGAAAGCCACTAGATTGTGTTAAGCCAGGGGCGACATATAATGATATATCTTATAGAATGTTAACCCTGTCAGTGCCACAAGTAATGGACAGAAAAAGGAAGAGATTTAGAATAGTGTACAAGTTAAAAGACTCTACCTAATGAAAGAGGATGGAGGCGTGCATCGTCACAGACATGATAGAGAAGGCGCAGTGGTGAGAAAGGGTACTTAAAAGGGAAACTGACAAGACTCGGTGACCAAATATATGCAAGAGTTACACCCAGATGTCCAGCTTGGTTGACTGATTTTGCCCTCAATCAGGAGAGAAAATGTTGAGAGAAGAGTAGTTTTGATGGTGGCATGGAGGCAGTGACTGAACTAAATTTTATTTCTGATATCTAGGTGTGTGGGTGTGTGTGTGTGTGTGTATTTGTGATTTTCCGCCTAAAATACATAAAATTTCAAAGGAAGTCCAGACATAGTAAATACTATCAAAAGAATCCATAAGTAAGAATATGAAAAGGAAAAGCAAGCAAAGACGAATTAGAGGAAAACTGCAGGGGTCCTGAGGCTGAGTATACCTCATCGAAATGAAGCGTCCCATTCAAGGGACTGAGGTCATCCTTAGCCATCTCATCCACAGTCCACTGCAATCGGACGGCTCCTTTTCCTCCTGGCGACCGGACAACTGTCAATGTCACATATGAATCAGGGTCATCAGACAGAAGGGATTCATCAACCATTACCTGGAAGAAAGAAAAACCCGATAAAAAAAAAAAGTAGGGAAGACAAACAATCTTATTTCTATTTACAATGACTGGAACTTTTGAATTTAGAATTCTGTCTATACAGCAGAAAAGATATTTCAGCAAACCCCATTTCCTTTTTGTCCTAGGCACTACCAGCAGTCCAATACTTGGTATTTCCTAGCTACTCTTGCAATTAGGCGGAGCATGTGACTGAATTTTGACCCAAAAATATAGATAGAAGTAACATGTGTTATTAATAGTCTGGCTATCAACTTCTCACACAAGCCTCCATATCCCCGCCTTCCCCATTTGCCAGGTGATGAGAGGGGACTCTCAGGACCTAGAGGAGGACAGAGTCACAGGATGGAAAGAGTCTGCTGCCCAAGATGCCAGTTGATGGAGAGGTGTCTGTTAGACCCCAACTAGGAACACTAATGTAGGACACGTGCATTAAGGAGAAATAAAATAACGAAAAGAGAAATATTTTGTTAAGGAAGATTTGGGGGTTCTTTTTATGAACATCAGGCATCCCACATAATATAGACTTAAACTGCCCTCTGAATTATGTAGTTTGCCAACTTTAGTAAGTCCAAATTTAAGAGATTTTATTATTATGACATAAAGACAGAAGGAAATTCAGTATGTTAATTTACCAATACTGGTTTAACTGAATGACATATATTGAGACTGTGAAGCAAAGTCCAAATTGAGCCTATTATATCCACCAATTATGGAAATACAAAACATAACACAATGCCTTCCATTTTCAAGACAGACAGACATACTTAACTAACATTTAATTTAATCTTATTTTGATTTTTCCAAGAGACTTTGCATTGGTGCCAAGAGTAGGGATTTGGAGGCAACTGACATTTATTTTCTATTATGTCCATTTTTGCACATAAACTTATTGAAGCCTCACAGAAACCTGAGGACCAGCTACATATACATATACTTGGAGAAGAGGAGCCTGGAACCGGATAGAGATGTTTGACTCCACAGCCAGTGCTATACCAACCACTCCTCAGAGCACAGAAATATTAAACAAGAAAGAAAGAAAGAAAAAACCCCACTATAAACCAACTGCACAGAGAAGTCCTTTTGGTTTCCACAGATAACATTTTAGCTTAGGCTTCGCAAGATTTCCTTGGGGCTCGGCTATTCCCCGTGCTTTAGTATACTTGGCATATTGTTCTTGTGAGCAGCTTAAGAACTTTGATAGATTTATATTAACAATCTTTTCTCCATGTTCTTCCGTGCTGAATCTTATCTGTATCATCAAATGAGGTTAACAGAATGTTCAATGTGTGTCCAACAGTGAATATCTTAGATACAAGTTAAAAGAGAAACTCCGTGTGATCAAGAGCCTTTGGCAGTGAGAAAGATAAGAATTAAGGAAAGGACCCATAAAGGGTTCGTAATAAGCTAAAATTAATACCAGCAATAATAAAAACAGCAATGGACATGTACTGAGTATAAAGCCTAGTTATAAGAGCTTCACATATATTAATTCATTTACTCCTCACAACAAGGGTTATACAGTAGGGTTTGGGGGGCACAACTCTTACTATCCTATATAATAAAAGCCTAGATGGTGACATGCCCTCATGCGACGTCGCCACAAGATGGCCACGTGCACAGTGGAGGCGGGGACCAGTGGCCGCTCTGCGTGGTGAGACCTGGGGGTCCTGTGGCTCTGCACGGCATGGAGGAGGCCGGTCCCAGGATCTCCGCTGCCTTGCGTGGAGGAGGCAGGTCGCGGCAGGGGAGGGCAGTTGGGGGCGATCAGGCCAGCAGAGAAGGGTAGTTGTGGGCAATCAGGCCAGCAGGGGAGCGGTTAGGGGGCGATCAGGCTGGCAGGCAGAAGCAGTTAGGGGCAATCAGGCAGGCAGGCAGGTGAGTGGTTAGGAGCCAGCAGTCCCAGATTGTGAGAGGGATGTCCCAGATTGGAAAGGGTACAGGCCGGGTTGAGCGACACCCTTCCACCCTATGCATGAATTTCATGCACTGGGCCTCTAGTTAGACTATAAGACAAATTGGAAATTGGAGGTTATTGCAATAAGCTATAAGATCTTGGACCAAGGGTGCACTAAAGTAGTTAAGATAAAATTAATAAACAAAAATTATTTATTAACAGTAATATAACTCTTCATTTTCCCTAACAATGAGAGGAGTTTATAAATACACCATCCAGTATGTAAGTCCAAAAAGCGTGTGACAAAGTTAATAGCAAAAGCATTTTATAAGGTTTCACCAATTGGAGGTTTGATTATTAAGTCCTGAACCTTTTATCTAACTTGAGAAGCTAACAGAGACATTTTATAAAAATTAAATTATACATTCATGTGTATTAAAATATTTCTTTGCACATACAGATAGAAAGAAAGCCTAGGTGGAAATACAACAAAATATTAGTGATGTTTATCTCATGGTAGTAATATTATGGATACTTTTACTGTCGTCTTTATTTATTTTTGTATTTTCCTAGACCTTTTATGTTGCCTGGAGACATTCACAGCTGCTCTTGTGAATCTACAACTCCTTACACACCCTTAACTCTGCTCATTCCTTTCAGGAAAGAGTCTCATTAGGCTACTGCAATGCAAGTATGGTGTTCCTCTTATGGTTTCCATTTTCTTATGAAGCTGAAATTTCAGTTGTTAAATCATTAGACAATTATTATGGTATCTTTAAAATTTGGAGCATCTGGAACATACAACACTGATAGGAAAGTTATAGGACTAGCCCTGCATCTTTAGAGCAATAATGGCAATGAGCACTAGAGCAATTTGTTATTATATAAATGATCAATGGTGTCTTGCTGATTACCTATAAGTGACAATGACATATGGATACATAAAAAGTTATTGTGTACCCCGGAATTATCTAAATATTTTTATTATTTCATTTTAGAATTTTCTTTGAAAGATAAAGTCATAACAATTTTTAGATAATCATGTAGTAATTACAATATTGTTTTATGGTCCTTTACTTTATATTTAAGATGTAGGGATAATTTAGCACTAGTCATTAAACCTGGCTGCACAAATGAGTGGTTAAGCATTTTCTCTCTCTCAATGGTTGAACCAAAAATAATTGGGCTACCTTTTCCAGATCTCAGAAGTAGACAGCCAATGAGAAGTAAGAGGGAAGAAAGAGAAGAAATATAGAGAAATGCATGAGCTGGGGAGACTGTGGGGTTTTGTTCAATATAAGTCAAGCAAGAATACCAGAAGGCAGGGTAATATAAACACCTCCCCATCTAAATCCATCTTCGGTGGAACACCAGATCCATGACAAAATCAGGCCTTGTGATCAGGATGTTGGTCTGCCAGCAGGGCAGGAAGAGAACAAATATATGGGGGGAAAGCACATCTTGGTTTATACACTTAATAAGTAGGAATCTGGTTCCCTTTATAACTGCCTGAAGTAAGAATTATCATTACTATCAAACTGCATAGATTGGATGATTGGCCCCTAATTCAATAGCCAACTCAAAAGACCCTTGAAAAGAGAATCACAAGTGAAGGGTTCTGAAGAGGTTTTTTTAAAACAAAAATTAGACACCTTTCTACTAAAAATTACACAGAAAAAAATTAGCCTAGGAGAAGCCCCTCCACCAATGTATTTCACTTACAGTCTTTTCTTCAAATCCAAATACTCCAAATGGAGAATCATTTTGTGGAATTACAACAGTTACTACAACATCATCACCAAGTCTGCCACCTCCAGTCACCCTGATTAAGGAAATACTAAAAGTCTCCATGAGTTCAAATTCAGCATCATCAATTATGGTTATTTCTATCATGGCAGTAACCTACAAAAGAAAAGGAAACAAGGAAAAGAGAGAAAAAGAGGAAGAAGAAAGGAGAGGTAGAGGGAAGGGTACATAATGTAATATCAATTTTTGAACATATATAGTTTATTTTTTAGTTAAAATTTAAAAACATAGTGCAAAAGAAAAATGCAGGATTATTTGCCTGTTATGTTCATAATAGCATTTTAAAGTCATACATTTATTGCATTTCAAAGAAATTTATAGTTAATTATGTTCAAGATATAGGAAATCATATATATAATATAGTAATTGTAGATACAAAAATAATGAGACCTTATTCCTTATTTTATTTTTTTGTTAATCCTCACCCAAGGATATTTTTTCCATTGATTCTTGAGAGAGAGTGAAAAGGATGGAGAGAGAGAAACATCAATGTGAAAGAGACATATCGATTGGTTGTCTTCCACACATCCCGACCAGAGCCAGGAATAGAACCTACAACCCAGGTATGTGCCCTTGACTGGGAATCAAACTCATGACCCTTAGATGCCCTAGCAACATTCTATCCAGTTAGCTACACTGGCCAGAGCAATGACGCCTTATTCTTGAACAAAAACATTTAAAATAACATGTTGGCTCTAATGACTATTGCACAAACATAAATTTTAGTATACTAAGTATTAACCTTGCATGATATAAAATGGTACCATAGAAATTATCATTGTGTTTTGCAATTAGAATAAATCCCATTAGTTCCAAATACTATTCTTGGAATGTAGGAAAATAAAAAAGGCAGGAAGAAAACCCAAATCTTTGTTCTTAAATATTCATGATCAGGATTTTGTTCCTTTTTCTGGGTCTATCTTGAAAGTTTTAATAACTTATAAGTAAAACTTAGTCCAGATGGTGATTTCACTTTTTGTGATAAAAAATATCCCAGCTAGCCATGATCAATGTGGCTCAGTAGGCTGGAGCATCATCTAGTACACCAAAAGTTGGAGGGTTCGATTTCAGGTCAGGGCACATACCTAGGTTGTGCATTCGATCCCCACACAGGAGGCAACCAACCGATGTTTCTCTCTCATATCTATGTTTCTCTTTCTCTCTCTATTTCTCTTCCTATGTCCATTAATTAATTATATACTAACTAACAGTATTTCTGTTTGGCTTGACAGAATTCAGAGTTTAATTCATTTAGCAACCACTACTGCACAATCATTTAATGGATGTCATAAAATGTTTGAAGTACAACCAGAAAAATGCTAATATGTTCATAACTAGCATACTTGTCTATCTGCAAATTTAAGAATCCCATGAGATGGCTTAAAGTCTTCCAGGCCAGCACTGTCCAGTGTTGCTTTCCAATAAACATCCACTGCCCCAAAGCTTCCAGCCAGCCGGACTACAGGAACTCGAAGTATGTTCAGGGGTGGAGGTACCTCATAGGCAGTGATCACTCCAACAGCATCCTTTAAGTAAAGAATATAAGTTAAAATGCAAGACAAAAGTAGCTCTCAGAAGGCATAACTTTCTAAATTTATTATTCATACTTAGAGAGGTTATGTTTACCCTTCAAAGTAGAAATACACAGTTTCTATATATATTCATTTAGAACTCTTAGATTTAAATGTAGGGTGAATAAATTTATTTAATCCTTGGGTCTAGCTCAAAGAGAACTAAGAATTAATCTATAAGATAAAGACAGATGTTTATAAATATCTTCAAGCAAAGCCACTTATTTTGCAGAAAATATGACACTGGCCAAATTGGAAGGTGCAAACGGCCATATCACGATAAATGTATGAAAGTTCATCTCACTCTGGTAACATGAAACTTAAAAATTCCTCTGGGATCATTATTTTCTTCTATCATTATCTCAACTATTTCCATCCCAGGTCTCCGAACGCGTGGCTGTCCTGCAGAGAAGTCAGAGTTCACCAGGTACACCTTGGTGATGTTGACAATGAATCCTTCCTCCAACTCAGGAGCATCATCCTGGAGGTGAGCAGGGAAGTGAGGGGACAGAGAGGATACCTTATTTTTTTAAATATATTGAACATGCTTTGGATATTTGGAATGAGTAGCTGTATCACACTTTCCAAAATAATTTCTTCCTATATTTTAACACATTCCCATTGACAATATCAGAATCTTTGGAAATATTCAAGCTTAGGAAATAATAGAAGCCTCGTACTTATTAGCAAGTAAAATAATTTTTAGAATTATTTTGAATATATTGTATTGAATATATTGTATTTGTAGAATTATTTGAATATATATATATATATATGAATATATATATATCCCTCCCCCAAATGTAGGACAAACTGGTAAATACTACATACACCTTAAAAGTAAAAGCCTTAGATTTATAAATCTAGACATAATCCCTCATTTTAATAAATTGTTTTAAAGACTTTTACTTTATTATTCAATAGGTAATGAGCAATTTCAAAAGATAAAAAGAATACATAGTGAAAAGTAAAGGAACTTTTGCTTTGCCCCAGACTTCACATCTTTCCCATGTCTTCCCCAGAAACCACTATTATCTAATACCGTCAATACCATTATTAGTAACACTAATGTTATAGCATATTTATTTAACAATATAAAATATAGTTAATATTACATATAGTATTCTAACATAAAAATACAATATTTAATTATGTAATATTATTGGTAACAACACTATTAATCAATTTCAGTTTCATTACAGATATACACACATAAGGAAGAGACAGAGCATAGCACTAAAGCCAGATCTAAACCATCTAAAACCTAATCTTAATTCAACTAATTGTATCATTCAATGAAAATATTGCCCTATCAATTTAACAATAAAAATAACCAGATTGATTTTATTCATTCATTTACCATTAACCAACCAACAAATGCATCCAATCAGACATATAATCCTATTAACTACATCCTAGACTCACCGGTAAAATGGTAACTTTGACATAAGTTTCTTTTATATTTTCTTTCATTATTATTATTGTTTCTTGTAGCACATAATCTTCATTCTCTGTAGCTTGATTATTGACAGGCAGTAAGAAATTGGGTTTAGCTGTCAAGTGAATGGCAATGTCTCCGCGTAGTCCTTTATCTCGAACAATTTGTAACTGAAGAGTGGTGATGTTCTCTGTGGGACAGACATGACTCAAGTACATAAGATTTTCTATGTACTGTCAATGCTATTCCAGGCACTTAGAGTGGAATGTTCTGCACTACCCCTTTTAGGTAGTTAAGGAAAGAGAGACAAAACAAAGACAATGTACACCCCCAAGGAGTATTTTGTGCTGTGCTCACCTATTCCCAAAGTTGTACTGAGATTCCCCATACACTGCAAGCAATCTATCCCAGTTCTAAGCCCTCCCTGATGCTTTTCTAGCATACTCTATGCTGCCCATGTCATGCACTTTAACAGAAATTGGTGAAAATCTTTTTTTAAAATATATTTTTATTGATTTCAGAGAGGAAGAGGGGGAGGGAGAGAAACATCAATGATGAGAGAGAATTGTTGATAGGCTGCCATTTGAATGCTCCCTACCCAGGCATGTGCCATTGACAGAAATCAAACCCAGGACCCTCAGTCCTCAGGCTGATGCTCCATCTACTGACCCAAACTGGCTAGGGCCTGAAAATCTTTAGAGAAGTGCATACATGCAGGTTGACCAGAGGTACTAATTACAAATGCTAAGAAGATTCTTCAAAAATGAATAAACACCAAAGTCATCATTTAATAACTAGTCTTTAGAACAATTTTGCTCTTATAGTGAGATACCTATCACAAGGCTCAAAGTATTCCATAGCACCTATCTTTTACTTAATTTTTTAGATTTTTAAAAATTTAATTTGCCATATAAATAAAGAAAAAACTGTGTGTCAATCTTCCTCACTGGTCTGTGCATTTCTAATAACCAAATACCATGTCTTCGCTTCCAGAACACACAGCACAATTTCTGGTACTTACTTGATGCTTTAAAAATATTTGTTAAATAAATAAATGAAGATGTCATTTTATTTGAAACCTATTGCTTCTGTCCCATATATACAGAAATATAAAGGCCCAGATGCATAATTACATGGCATTTTTATCATCAACTACTTAAATGGTAGGACACTGAGAGATGCCCATGTTCCTTTTGGAAAATCTTAGAAACTTTACATAGCATATGTAAAACACATACATATTATATAGTATATATAACTTTTTATTTAAATAAGCCAAATGACCTTTATCTACAAAAATCCATTTATCCACTGATATGAAGAGTTTCTTAGGCAGATTTCAGCACTAAGCTCAAAGGAAATAGAGACTGATTACTTTTACTTCAGAGAAAATATTATTCTAATCATTGCTTTGGATTTAACAATTAACGCTTGCATTATCATATGCATTTCTCTGTGTTGCTCCTTGTTCCTGGTAACTTGAAAATCTAGAGAGGACATCTGAGTGAGGAAAGAGGACAGATAAATAAAGGATGAAAAAGAGAAAGTAAAATAAAAATCAATCCTCTTTGCTGTAATGATTTACTAAAATAAGATTTCTATTATAATAATAGTCTCAAAATAGTAAAAGTATTTTTGAATATTTGCATGATCATAAAATTCAATAATTATCAACAAAAAAGTAAAAAGGATTAAGACATGTCAAATTAAAAAATATCACATAAAAAGAGAAATGTACATTTCTAGTAAATATTACAGTTAAATTATCCAATAGAACCTGAAAAAGAGTTAACAAGATTTACCTTTGGGCTCTGCTACCCTAACAAAGAGAGACTCAGCCTGCCAGCCCACCAAGCCATAGGGTGAGTCACTGGGCAGAGTGGTTAGCACAGACTTGCTTCTTTTCTGATCAATAGCAGCACCTTTCGCTGGGTCCTCAACCCCTTCCGTGCTAATGCGGGTGAGCGTTACGGTCACCATCTCTGATAACTCTGGTACATCATCAGCAAGAATGGTCAGGGTGATTGTAGACAGTGCCTGGCCTTCAGAAAATGAAATCTAAAATTTTAAACAAAGAAAAGTTTACCTATTTTTTCATTATCACGGTGCAGCAAGAATAACAGAGGTTAGATTTGTTTTATATTGGCCACAACTTAGATAACAAGAGATACTTAAGCAACGTTTCTACAAATCAAATGTCTTTCATATAAAAAGTGAAAGATTAAGAAAAAAATAAACCATTACTAAAACTTAACCTCATAAAACGGTAGCCAAATTATTAAATCCTGAAGCCTACTTTCTATTAAAATATCGAGTGCATAGTCTTTCTGTGGGAATCTAAGTCCTAGATACCATATATAAAGATCTATAAACATTAAGAAAACAGCTTCGGTTTAAGTACTTTTCTCTACAAAATTTTGGCTATAATTGCTATTTCCCTTGGGTAAACTCTGATTAAATGTGTCATTTAACAATTTATAAATCAAAACAGAGGTGAACAAAGAAGAGGCAGAGATACAAATCAGAGCATCTCTCTTCCCCTTTGGTGTCTCCATCGTCTGAAGAGTCAAATCCGAGTTTGCTAAGTGGAATCAAGTTCTTTCCAATAGGGCTTCTGTCTGCTTCTTGAATGTCATTTATCATTGTTCTTCATCTCATGCCTTATTCTCCAGCAATATGGCTAAAAACTACAATTATGCAAGCTAGTATTATAGGCCTATTTTGCTGGCATTCATCTCTCCACCTTGATAAGGCACTTGAGGATATAAATTCAACAGCTTCATTAATAAAACCAGGTGTCAGAAAACTACTGCCCTTTGGCCAAATCCACGTTTTATAAATGAAGCTTTATTAGAACACACGCTCATTCAATTACATATTGTCTATAGCTGCTAGAGTGCTCCGAAGGCAAAGCTGGGAAAGAGACCTTATAGCCCTCAACACCTAAAATATTTACTATCAAGCCCTTTACAGAAAGTGTTTACTGACC